TGAGCCCGGGAGGTCAAGGCTGCAGTGTACCATGATCCTCCCATTGCAGTCCAACCTGGAGAACAGTGAGAACCTGTCTCAAAAATAATAATAACTTCCTCAGGAAATCTGGTTAATACAGTAATATTTATAGGGTAGGATATTATCTTCCTTGATAATAAAAATTTGACATCTATTAATTTTGAGCTGTGTTTTGATTTATGTTGAGATATTCTGTTCAAGTTTTAGGAAGAATATTTAAAGTGCTTTCCAAGTACCTTTGTATACTTTAAAGTACTCATTTATTTATAAACACTATGTTGCAGATAATTGCTAAAAGAGGTCATACTTGATTTGTCATTTTTTTCTTTCTTTCTTTCTTTCTTTTTTTTTTTTTTTTGAGACAGGGTATCTCTGTTTTGCCCAGGCTGAAGTACAGTGGCATGATAATGGCTCACTGCAGCTTCAAATTCCTGGGCTCAAGAGATGCTCCCATCTCATCCTCCCAAATAGCTGGTACTACAGGCATGTGCCACCACACCTGGCTAAGTTTTGGGTTTTTGTTTGTTTGTTTGTAGGCACAGGGTCTCCCTATATTGCTTAGGCTGGTCTCAAACTCCTGGGCTCAAGTGATCCTTCTGCTGCGGCCTCCCAAAGTGCTGGGACTGTCAACATGAGCCACCACACCCAGCCTGTTACTTTTTTCATTGTAAAACTTGAAATTTAGAGATTCAGATAGGCTGCCACAATTGTTAATTCCATATTCTTAGCCAACTGTCCCATAACCTGTTTCTCCTTTGCTAACATCTAAAAAGACAAAGGTCATTAACAAAACCCTTTTGAGGTGATGGTGGTGAAGAAAAAAAAAAAAAAAAAAAAAAGAAGCAAGCTTTTGGGAAGATCTTAAATGGTTAAAAAATAATAATTAACATTTGTGAATGGTTCCACAGTATTAGTGTGAAGTAGACGATTTTTAGTTTTAATAAACATCTAAAGTACTCTACTGGCTAAGATTCAGGAAATGAATATACTATTGACTTTGCTTGTAAATAAATGAGTTGAAATATTTGTGTATTTGCTTCTAAAAAAATCATCTAATGCAGAGATCAGCAAACTTTCTGTAAAGGATCAGATGGTGAATACTAATATTTTAGGCTTTGCGTGCCATACAGTCTTTGCTGCAGAGATTCATCTCTGCATTGTAGTGCAAAAGCAGCCAAAGACAGCACGTAAACAAATGAGAGTGGCTGTGTTCCAAAAAAAGTTTATTTAGAAAAACAGTCGACAGTAATTTGCCAGAGTTTCTGTTAAAAAATAGGCCAAATATGGGGACTCTGTATTCTTTCTGCTTAGTTTTTCTGTAAACCTTAAAACTGCTTTTAAAAAATAGTCTATTGAAATTTCTTTTTAAACAGACTGTCTCGCTCTGTCACCCAGGGTGGAGTGTGGTGGCACGATCTCTGCTCACTGAAGCTTCTGCCTCCCGGGTTCAAGCGATTTTCCTGCCTCAAGTAGCTGGGACTACAGGTGTGCGCCACCAAGCCTGGCCAATTTTTGTGTTTTTTTTTTTAGTCAAGTCGGGATTTCACCAAGTTGGCCAGGCTGATCTCAAACTCCTGACCTCAAGTGATCTGCCCACCTTGGCCTCCTGGATTATAGGTGTGAGCCACCATGCCTGGCCTGAAATTTTTAAAAAATACAATAGAGAATACAAATATGTAGCATGAAGTGATGATCAAACCTCAAAGACATCTCTTAGTTTTTATGGCATAGTAAATCTACTGGATGACTGAATATAGCTATCAACTATCATATATGCTTACAGAAGACTTCAAACCCTTCTGTTTTATAGGGATCTTTTAAAAAACTTATTTTATTCGTCGATTAAAACAAAATCATGACATTATTACATTTGATAACATAAACAGCTAGAGGACCTTTATCAACATTTGGGGTAATTGTTGGAGAAATTGCTGATTTAAAGGATTTCCTTGGTTGAACACAAAATAATTGCTGAAGAATTTTTAACAATGTTACTATTCTTCTGTCATTGATATAGTAATTACTTCGAGTTTCCATCCTACAGTATTTATTTTTTTCTCCTATTCTGTAAATATACCCTGGAGTGTGCTTGTGAATGTCAGTTAAAGTATTTATAATCATTGGCCATAATATTCATATTCATTTGACAACATATTTGAAAAATTAATTTAGACTAATGTGTTGTTGCACCTGAATTAATTTTAATGGATTTTCTGGGGTTTTTAGTTTAAATATCACTATGATGTATCTATTTAGTTTTTTTTTCTATTTACTTTTAACCTTTTTATTGTGAAATATGACACATAGAAAAATACATAAAACAGAGATGTCCAATTTAGTAAATTGTTATAAAGCAAACATCAGTGGAACTACCATTGCAGGTCAAGAAGGTCAAGAAATAGAGTGTTTTCAGCACCTCAGAATCCCCTTAAAAGACTTTTTTTTTTCATTTTGAGACAGAGTTTTGCTCTTGTCGCCCAGGCTGGAGTATAATGGCACAATCCTGGCTCACTGCAACCTTCAAGCAGTTATCCTGCCTCATACTCCCAAGTAGCTGGGATTATAAGCATGCACCCTCATGCCCAGCTAATTTTTGTAGTTTTAGTAGCGATAGGGTTTTACCATGTTGGCCAGGCTGGTCTTGAATTCCTGACCTCAAGTGATCGGCCTGCTTTGGCCTCCCAGAGTCCTGGGATTATAGGCATGAGCCACCATGCCCAGCCCATTTCTTTTCTTATTTATTTATTTTTAACTCTTGCCCAGGCTAGAGGTTTCACCATGTTGGCCAGGCTGGTCTCGAGCTCCTGACCTCAAGTGATCCACCCACCTTGGCCTCCCACTGTGCCCAACCCATTTCTTCTTAATTGTTTTATCTCCTATATGTACTTCTTACTTCTTAATTGTTTTATCTCCTGTATGTGCTGCTCTAAACAATATAGTTTAATTTTGCTTGTTTTTAAGCTTTGCATTACCTTTTTTTTTTTTGATGGAATCTTGCCCTTGTCGCCCAGGCTGGAGTGCAATGGCACAATCGTGGTTCATCCCAACCTCCACCTCCTGGGTTCCAGCCATTCTCCTGCCTCAACCTCCCGAGTAGCTGGCATTACAGGCATGTGCCACCACACCCAGCCAATTTTTTCATTTTTAGTAGAGATAAGGTTTCTCCATGTTGGTCAGGTTGATCTCGAACTCTTGGCCTCAGATGATCCACCTGCCTCGGCCTCCCAAAGTGCTGGGATTACAGGCGTGAGCACCCACACCCACGCCCGGCCTGCATTACTTTTAAATAGCCAAAACTGCAATTATTTTTGCACCAATCTAATAAATAGAATAACAGAATAAATTCTTCAGTGTGTCACTAATACTACACACAATAATAAAAATACAATAATAGTAATAAAAATGGCCAGGTAAATGATAGTAATGTGATACTGAGCTGTATTGAAGGCTGTCTTCAATAAAACTGCTCCATGGGTAACATCACATGTTTGGCACCTCTTCCTGCCCTTTAACTACGTTTGCTACCTCATAGGACACTGTTGCTGGTGCCTGGTAACAATTATGGTGGGTGGTGAAAGGTATAGCACTTGGCTTTGAAAACAGATTTTTCTTTAAGGCCTTAGGTCAGTCACTCTGTAAGTTTTATGGTGATCGGACTAATTTTCTATAGTTTAAAAAGGCTGGTTATAAAGATTCCAGTATATGTGAATGTTTTTTTTTTTTTTTTTTTTTTTTTTTTT